GACATCCATCCAGAAATATATGATGTTATCCCGTTCATTGTATAATGCACCATCATTGTTTGCACAGACCAGCGTTGCTGGCGTCTGCTTAGCATGTTAAGAATGTGTGTTGAAATTTTTGTAACGAAATACTTCCAACCCGGACGAATGTCATCCAGAAATATATGATGTTATCCCGTTCATTGTATAATGCACCATCATTGTTTGCACAGACCAGCGTTGCTGGCGTCTGCATGGTTAGCATGGTCTCTCTTATTTGGGATATATCACATGTCTTACTGAGTTACGACCAGTCGGACGCCATGAACACGTGTCGGGACAGCAGAAGCAAGCAGTGGGATTGCTGATTCCTCCTTGGACCAAGGGAAATAATCAGTCTTTTCTCCTGTTGAAATTGATCGCATGCGGTGCAGCAATTTGCGTCTGTATGCTGTAAGGTCCTTTTGTTTCCCTTCCACTCGTCCACTGTTTTCTTATCCCTGATGTTTACTTAATTTCCAGTTACTGCACCAAGATTCTGTCATCGTCTGTCTTTGCTTGCAACTCCGTATTAATCTACCCACTTTCGAGGGTCTATTCTAACGGAAAAAGCTTGCCTGTAAGTCGAGCGTGGGGCACACGGGTAGTGGACATGCACATTATACACTGAGACAAATCGACTCCCCCGATGACAATATTTCTGCACTTTATCTTGACTGCCCGTGTTACTGCACTTTGGCTTTAAACTGGCCTGAGCGCAAATTCAAATGTGATTTGTTTCCACGCTGTCAGCGAATGATGGATGGTATTTTTTGAACCAAAATCACCAGATACGTGTTATTCGTAATAGTTTTTGCTTTTTTACGATAATGATAAGGATTATTATTGACTTCTACCAAGGTCATAGTCCTGGTGCCAAACGGTGCATCGTGAGAGGCAGGTGTGCAATGAAAGCGCATGTGGTAAGACGGCCACTGGCCACGCTAATTCTTTGACGCCTATCTGCGACGCGTGACACACAAGCCTGTGGGCACTCCACAGCATTTCGAGCAAAAAGTGGATACACTGGTAGTTTTTTACATCACGTCAAGTGTTTGAGCCAAACACTACTTGTCCAATCAAGACTCTTAGACTTTGAAAGGGCTTTCGATTTTGTAGATTGACTGTCTCTCCCCAATACCCTTGGTTAGATGGGTTGCCCTCAAAGTTTTTTAGCGTTATCTGAGTCCCTAATTCCCATATGTCAGATCCGGTCGCGCTGTGCAATAAACTCTCCAGAAGCTTTGTGACGTAATGGAGTTAATCGGGGGTTGTTCTCTCACCGTTGTTTCACTCACTTTTGTCGCTGCTTTTGCCATGAAATGCATAACACAAGGGGCCATGAATGTAGGTATTGAAATCTTGTGCGATGAGTGGCGATTAAAGAACTTGGACTATGTAGACGACAGTTTTGTTGTATGGCGATTATTCAGTAGCGTAATATACCTTCATCAAAACACTGGAGGTGATTCCACGTTTTGGTATCCGTTACGCCCTTTCAAACTACAAAGTTTTACCTTAGGATTCTCGATCCCCTTGAGCCTATCAACAACTTCGTGCTGAACAGCTTGAGTTTGTTTGTTGGTCCACGAAGGTTGACAGCCACATATTTAGTAGCTGCTAAAACGGATAAAGTGAATGCGCGAATAATCAATGCTCCACAGAATTTCACCAAATAGCGTCATTTTTAGCGTCAAAACCGATTTTTACTGACGCCGAATGACCGCGTATACGAGACCAGTTGTGCTTTGTGGTTGTGGCGCTTGGGCTCTGTGATCCGAAAATTCCGGGTTCTTTCGAAATCTTTATTACCACTACCACGCAGTAGTGTATGAATTAGCTGACAGCAGCAAGCATGCAATGACAACGCAATAATGTGAAATGAATGTAAAACTTCTTTTCTTTTAAGTGATTTTGGCGGAAGATTTACGGAGGGACAGGCCATTAGTTAGGAAAACGAAAAATAAGTAACCACTACCAGAATGAACGGTGTGAGGTCTTCGCCCCTTCCTGACTGGGGCCCACGCATTTCTGCTTGGCAGTGCTTGTAAACCCCTAGAAAAAGGGGCGCGTAATCGATCAGTTGTGTAGCCAGACCGTCTATTTATGGTCCACTTTTACGCTCTGAGCATTTTTGGGGGTGGATCTCGTGATGAAAGTTTCGTAAATCCCCCCTGATAGCAGCAGATTTTTAGACACTCTAATTTTAGTTTCATTTAAGAAACTAGGTCTTCTTCGCATTAGGCCCTATCCACTTACTCCCACTTTTCTGTACTAAGGCGTTCTCCTCTCACGGTTAAGCCGTCAGCGATAATGGTGATGATGATGCCAACGAGATGATAAGATGGCCCAGTGGTCGAAGAGCGAATTTACTGACTGGAAGGCCCGTGGTTGGAACCTGACCTCTGTCTCTCGACTCCCCCCGGTCTAGGCTTGAGCAACCGAAGAGGTTTCAAAGGCGTCCATGTGTTCTTGATGCCCTAAAATAAACACACCGAGAGTACTTTCCTTCCAGGTTGCTTAAGGTTGGTTTCCTGTAATTCCTTGAGACGATTTTTTTCTTGAGAGGGCTGGTTATGCTCAGAGGAGTTCCCATATCACTGCCTGTCATGAAGTATGACCAGCAGCAATGCTTCCATATCAGAATTCACTCAAAAACAAAGGTAAATATCCAGCATTCAGTATTCCCACACACAACAATAGCTAACCAACAATGGATTCCAACATATAGCTTTGTTCAGTATGCGCCTCGCACGTGCGAAGTGTAAAGTGCTAATGCAAGACTGGGTGGGACCGAACGCAAATCCAATGTTTGCGGTTGAACCAATCAATGTGGTGGGTGAGCTCGTATGATTTTCATGGTGTCGATGAAGCCTCCCTGTACCGTAACCGTTTTATTGCAACAGCTGATATGTGTGACTTCATCACGTGGTCTCAGGTACTGCCAGTGTATGTTCCCTTTCAGTGCATGGCACTGTGGTTTCATG